GTTGAATTTCATCTTAAAATATACCATATGGCTCTCACTGAAATATATTTCCGAATATTTGCTTTTTTGGCTCTTTGAGTTAAAAAGGTTGCCGACCCCTGCCTTAGCCCAATGGTTAGGGCGCCGGACTTCTAGCCAACAAGGTTGCAGGTTCGCGCCTCAGGCGTTGCAAAACCTGGGACTAGATTTGACTTTCTGGTGGCCTCCAATAAGCCAGGAAAACCCAGTTCCAATCTCCCACAACTTTGTCGACAATCTCATTCTGCCTGCGAGACCCTAGACAGTGACACAAAAGCACACTATCACGACTGAGTCCCGTTGTGTTTTTTGAGCTCGATCTAGAACCCCACAGATAGCGGCAAGTATTATAAACATGAAGAGATTTTCGACAAGAAAAGGGGGATTGGGACAGTCATTTCTGGTTTAATAGCCGACATAAAGCAGCCGTACTCGACCCCGGGTTTTTCAACCGCGATCGCAAATGACAGAAGAACCAGCCTGTGGTTTACTGGTAGAGTGCTGGACAGAACGCTCAAGGGGGACAAAAGAATCCAAGTTAGAATTCCAGTTTATCCAATCTTGAGGTTTGGTGGGGCTTATAGAGGACAGCATATAAGCCAGACGTAGCCGCCCCTGTCTTAGCCAGTACCTATTATCTGCAACTTATAGATATCTATAAATGTGCAGGAGTATGCGGGCGCCTATCTGTTTCCCGCTCAGAACAAATAAGCCATAAACGTGTATATCTGATGTTGCAAAACATTCGGTAGATAAGATACTGAAAAAAGAAGACGGTTAAGGCACAATATTTGGTGTTACATAGATTTCAGTATTTTTATGGGATCATTTCAAAGAATTATTTTAAGTTCTTGGACAGTAAAATATACTAAAAATGTAAATGCACTTTATTAAACAGTTTCTAACCGAGCAAAAGATACACACAAACGTCGCTTGTAAAAAACTGGCATTTAAGAGAAACCGAGAGACATCTCACACTCTTCTTCAATCCGATTATTTCAAATTGCACCACCGTTTCGCAGGCACTGAGATTTGGTATGTACAGTAGTAGCAGACAATAGCGATGACACGATAGACTGAAATAAGGAAGAAGGAATATTGCTTATTTCTTAGTATCTCTGTGAGCTGGATCTGAATCGAAAATCCAAAAGCGCACGAATATATAAAACCTGCGAGTCTAGTGAATGCCAAACAGTATAATCGGCCTGGTGAAACCGTTACTCTATCTCAGCGTTTGGTCGAATAATCACCTGTAATTTAGCTGCTTTTAAGCCCATCTTGAATCGAATTAGTGAAAATGAGTGCGATTAGTAAATAACATGGTCTACTGGAACTTTATTACGATTCGGGAATAGGATCCCTATTCAGGAATGTGAATGGCATTGCGTAAGAATTCTCCTGTCACAATCCCAAGTTGGACACTAACCCTGAATAAATTCTTAACCCTAAACTTAGCTCTAATTTTACCTTACTCCTAACCTTAAAAATAACCATCACTTTCTGGAAATTCGCGCAAATCTCCCGAAATAGGGGAAGAGTTCTCATGCCTGTGTCCTGTCTAAACTTGATTTGGAAACTGATAAAATAATTTTACTTTTGGGATACCGCAAGCGAGTAAGGAGCGGAACCGAACAGACCACACAGCGCAAACTCAATAATATTAAAAATTTTGGAAGAATCGGGACCTCTAAAACGTAGTTACGGAGTGTTAAGCCTGTTGACAAAAAAATCGCATTATTTCGGTTCTACCAGTATAAATAGTACATGCTACGCAACCGTTCCATAGGTTCACACTTAATGGTTCCTCAAATAAATTTGTAGTGTCAGTAAATTTTGACCGATTGTGCAATTATCGTGTTTGTAGCGCGCTCAAAAGCCCCTAAGGTAGATTCCCTATATCATGGGACGTTACCCGAAAGTTCGAAATGTGTTTTTGATTCGAACAAATTATCCAAGTAGGGTTTTAATATTGATTATCCTGTAACCTAATCTCAAAATATTTCAGTCACTTCAGAATGCTCACGTTGGAACGAGCTTCTATCTGACCGCCCGAAAAAAGCATACTCGGCCACTTAAGTTGTATGCATTTTCCTTATTTATTTTCACTGTCCTTATAAATTCAGATATATCATATAGGAAACACGCACAACAATATTCTTTTTTTACTCGGTTGGTAAATAATTACGCGTTCTTCAAATTTTATGCTTTAAGAAATGATATCTATCGGTTTTAGAAAGTTTCTGATTAAGTGATTTTTACGACCCTGAAAGGTTTGTTCATAATACATCGTATCCATCTGTTTACCAATGTTGCCTATAAAGTATACAACGTGGCCCACATAATTTTCAAAATGTTATGTGCACTGTGTGACCTTTTCCTCATACCGTATGGAAATATGCACTTTTCCCTAGACAGAAGTTTTACAGCTTATTGTTTGGAAACCTTCAATTCGAGTGTAACGACCAGCAGGATTAAAAATATTTCGGCAATTTAGAAAGCTTTTTAACTGAAAGATATCCTTTCTTCAAATATACAATTTTTGGAGGTCTAAGTTGCTACCCAAAGAGTATTTGAAAGGTTATTTTATGTGTGTTTTATATATAATATATTTGAATGTATCGAGGCACAGAAAATTAGTGAGCAAAATGCATACTACTTAAGTGCCTTTTTAGGGAATATGTTTCCTGCAGGTGGTCAGATAGAAGCTCGTCCAAAAGTCGGCATCGCGCTGTGACTGAAATATTTTGATATTAGGTTGTAGGATAATCAAAATTATAATCCTACTTTAGTAATTTTTCGAATCGAAGACACGTTTGATAATTTCGGTTAACGTTTCATGAGATATGGAATTCATTTTATGTACATGACCTCCTTTAAAAGTCGTATTGTTTGGGCGTTTTGCAGTAAACTAGAATTAACCAGCAACTAAAGATTTAAATGGTAGTGTGATAACGTTAATGAATATGTTGGTAATTTCGACTTTCAATTCGACTACAAAGGAACGGGAGAGGATGATAACACTAAAAGAAATAAAATATCGTAGTTAGATAGTAAACAGTTAATCTAAAAGTGTCTGGCGTTATATTAAACTTAGAGGGACGAATTTGGCCAAGGAGTAAATTTACCTGGGTCAACTAGCATCCAGTGTCCTATCCACTGTCCCGAAGTAAAGCCCAGATAGAAGTAGAAGAAACCGATGGATGAAAATATTGCACTGACGCTGCATAGGATTCCAGTAAGTCTCCGAAGATTTCTATCGGATAATGAGCCCCTCTGTGAAAACAGTGACATTTTTTACGGCATTGAGAGTAGCCAACATTTGCAAAAATACCAATAAGCGCAAACTTACAAGTTTTTCTCCGTAGACTGATGTATGAAAAGTCCATTTAACAAGACGTTCGAGGAGGATCTGAATCGTGTTTATCCCTACCCAGACGGCTTGATTGGAAAAATAGAGGAAAGACGCATTTTGGAATGAAGAATGGAATTCAGTCAAATTTCGACGAAAACTGGAAGTAACCTAAGCGAAATCGAGTTGCAAATTAAAGGTATCTACAGGAGACGGAATAATTGAAGTGCGGGCCGCGGTGATATCTATGTTGGACCTACAAGTTGCGAAGCTGGCGCGTTCTTCCTAGCTTGAATAAGCATGACGAACTGTCAACTATCACAACAGACTTAACACCCTGGCTCGAAGGGCTGTCACATGCGTGATAAATCCGTTTACCGAACTGAAGGTCAGCCTGCGATGCTCCCATTCTAATTGGAAAACTATAGCAACCCGCTACCTTTGACCTGAATACCGATTCGTGTGGGTGTGGGGACTGGCACCTGTGCGGCAAGTGTAGACGTGGATTCAGTCAGTGGAAGTCCGTTTTCAGCCGCCCGAACCTTGACTTGCCACTACAGCCTGCTAAATGTCAGATGTGGGAGTGAGGGAGAGGGATCCCAAGTTCCCCTCATTGTAAACCAATAAAAGTCCAAGTTTCCAGAGTCGCTTTTGTCGGTGACGGTTGTGACGGTAAAGTTAGTGAAAGGGGGAATTGTTAGGCATGCTGTTAGCAAAAGCGAATTCAAATTTTCCAACCTTATTTGAGAGTAAGGGGAAAACAACTTGTGAACACACCGTTCTGTGAGTTACAGGAATGAAAAATAAGTACGAAGAGGAAACAAAGAAGTCCTCCTTGTAGCCGCTGAACAAGTGACACCGGGTGATGCGAAAGAATGGCATGCGTCACTGCTTTCTTTTCAACAGTAGGTTCCTTTGGTTTAAGCCAGGGTAAATAGATGTACCTGAAAGAAAAATAAGTATTTGACAGCAATAAAAAATAATTTCAAGGTGACGTAAACGATGAAAGAGAGACGGTAATGTATGTTGACCAGACCAGAAATTAACTTGGCATCGGTGCGGTCGTGCTTGTGGGCCGAGTTGAAAAGCATACAACAGCTCGGCTGTACAGGGCGCGACTCTCGCACCCGTTCAACTAATCGATGAATTTATCCTATCGCGACGTACTCTGCTTTGCACAACCATCTGTCGTAGGAATTTTAGCATATGCGCATGCAACGAAGGCAGCAGAGTCAGTGTTCCACATAGCAAGGGCCATACAGTGCAGATCGAGAGGCGAGCTTATCAATAATCTAATAAGGAACATTCGCAGTGAATATTGAAAAATTCCATCTCCAAGTGAGCATCTTACGCTATGCGTGACATTTTGGGAACAAATTTAGCAGGAACCTCCCATTTTCTAGGTGGTTGTGAATCTTTTGTTCTCCATCTGAATTGTTTCTACATTAGTTCCTACGTGAATATGCTTTTCTTACAGAATACGCCAAAGATCGTAAGCATATAGGCAGTGTTCAATTAGATCCGATATGCAGCCAAGTTAAAATGCTTACCATTTCAGAAAGTTGTAGAGGCCGCGATCAAATCTCCTAGTAAAGAATAAAAAACAGGGTAATTAAAGAAAGCAGCTTTTAGAAAAAATAAAGACACACATGTTGTATTTTTGGCTTCAACTACAATTTATTCCACCTTGGAAGTAATGCTGGGTAGGCTTATAATGCTGACGAAACAAAGCATTGGACTTAATACTTGAAACTCGAACCAGCTTGTAATGGCTTATTATCGAGACAACCCTCCGTAAATTCAAATTATCTCATGTAGGAAACACCAAGAATACAGTCACTCCAACTGAACATAGGTTCATCTTGAGGTGAGAACATACCCGCATATTGATTAATACACAGCCGAGAAAAGGACCAGACGACACAAACCCGTGGCAATCACATCCAGCCGGACGGCAAACAGACTCGGTTTCCGACAGTCGTAAATATCCTAAACAAAACGTCAGTAGGATAGAGGTGAGAAGTCCCCAACTGCTAGGATGCAATGCTTGTGGTACGTACATATTTCGAAGTGTAACCACCTTTAAACATCATGACTTCTTCATACTTCTCATCGGTCCGGAGGGAAAGTAACACACAGCGTTGGTCGTGACCTCCTAAATTAAAATTATGCGAGCATCTTCTGTGACTGTCGCTGGTGATGGATTCCAGTGAGAATCCGAAATAGCAAGCCAATAAACTTCTTGTTCCAGCGATCACATCTTCTTCTTCTGACATACTTATTGGTTATTATTGATGACCAACACAAACCTTATAGAGTATGCGTGCTGTAGGAATACAGCCCGCATGCAGCAGTAGAGGCTTTGCAAGACTATTAGGAAGAGTGCTAGATTAGAGCAAATAATATTTCACAAAATTGATTTTTTAATTTACCATATTGCCATACCGTGAAGTGAAACTAATTTGTAAGAAAAATAAAAAGCTGAGTTGACAAGATAGTAGGAGAGGTGGGTTCCATCACATCACGTTGAGGTTTCTGATAGAACGGTCAGCAATGTCATCAGCGACGATCCGATATGTAGATACTCGCATGTATATAAATCCCCACATGCCCTTTTGTTCGATTTCCAGAGACATTTGATATTGGGGGTAATTTTATGGTTGATTCCAATAAAATGCTTAAGGGATAAGTCGAGATACTGTTTAGGGTTAAGTAAAAACGTAAGGTCAGGGTTGCAATTAGGGTTAAGTTTATCATACGCAGGCCGTGTTGGGCAATCCAACATTCATTAAAAAATAAATTTAAACTACCTCTCTTCTGTCCGCCTTAACGTCCTTGATTTGAATATTTCACATTGCTTCTCAATTAGAGCACGCCAGTGGAACTACAGAACTAACTTGCGCTAGCAATGCGGTTTTCTTAATGCCTTCCGTAGCCTCTGTCCTACTGATAAGACTAATATCATTGTAGTGGCCTAATTTAGAGTGCAACACTCCACCTTTCGCCTCTCGCGACTGCTTGCACGTGCGCACCATGTCTGCTGATTCTAATCCGTTCTGACCAATCATCTCCCTGCCCTCGCGCTCTCCCACTTCGGACGCTGCTCTCGCGGGCGGGGATGCGCGTTCGTTCAGCTGCCAACTTCCTCCAACCTATT